GAAATTCACCACCTGAAGAATTAAGCAGAACACTGACAAGAGAATACAGAAGACACACAGTATAAATCAACTGGACATCTATACCAAGCTATAGAATACTCTATCCAGTAACAGCAGACACATTCTTCTCAAGTACATATGAAACAGTCTCCTAATAGTCCAAAGTTGGCCCATGAAATAAATCACAATAAATTCAGGAGCACTGAAATAATATTAACTAGGTTTTCCAACTGCAATGGTTTATATTAGAAATCATTTTAAAGAAAATGTATGAAAACCTCTAATATGTGAATATAACAAGTGGATCAAAAAAGGTCAGAACATACCCAGTAATAAATAAAAATGAAAATCCAACATCTCAAAATTTATGGGATGCAATTCAGAGGAAAATATACACTATAAACATCTACATTAAAAAGGGAAGATGTAAAATCAGTAAGCTAATCTTCTACTTGAAGAAACTAGAGAAAGATGAGCAAATCAAACTTAAAGCAAGCTAAAGGAAACAATAAAGTTTAGAACGACGAATTTAAAGCACGAATTAATTCAGAAAGCGATTTGTACACCCAGATTCATAGCAGCATTATTCATAATGGCTAAAAGATGGAAACAATTTAGTTGTCATTGATGGATAAAAGAATAAACAAAGTATGGTATATATAATGAATTTTAGACTTAAAAAGGGGAAGACAATTTGACACATACAACAATATGGGTGAACTGTAAGGACATTATGCTGTATGAAATAAATCAGTTACAAAAGGACAAATGTTATATGATTCCATTTAAATAAGGTACCTAGTACAGTGAAATTCATAGAGACATCAAGTAGAATGGAGCTTTGCCAGGACATGGGGGCAGGCAGAGAGAGGGAGCTATTGCTCACTGGTAGAGTTGCAGTTTTGCAAGATAAAAGTTCTGTGGATGGTGGTGTTGGTGTTGATGGTTACCCAACTAAGTGGACATTTAATAATGCTGAACTGTGCATTTAAAAGAGTTAAAATGGTTAACTTTTAGGCTGTGTATTTTTTAAAAATAAATAATATAATAGTTTATTTTTATATCATTTGTGCATTTTTCCATCTCAGTCGTAGGTTTTAAAAAGCTAGAGAGAGAAGTAATGAAATAGAGAATAGAAGAACATCAACACAGTTAGCTAACTTTTAGATAGACTGAACAAGAAAAAAAGACTCAAATTACAAGGATCAGAAATGGAAGAGGAAACATTACCAACCTTATAGAAATAAAAGGGATCATTAGAGAATATTCTGAACAACCATGGACCAATAAATTAGATAACTTAGATGTAACAGAAAATTTAGAAATACACAAAATATATAAACTGATTCAAGAAGAAATAGAAGATCTAAACAGACCTATAATGGTAAAGGGCTGAATTAATAATGGGAAAAAAATCTACCCACAAAGAAAGCACAAGCTTGGATGACTTTCCATCTGAATTCTACCAAATATTTAAGGAAGAATTAATATTTATTCTTTACAAATTCCACCACGAAATAGAACAGGATGAACAGTTCCCAAATTATGTGAACTGACACATGCTACTACATGGATGAACCTCAAAAACATACTAAACAAAAAAATTCATCACAAAGACCATGTGTTATATTGATATAGCCCATTTATATAAAATATCCAGAACAGACAGACCTACAGGGACAGAAAGAGACTAGTGGTTGCAAGGGGGCGGATGATCAGGAGGGAATAGCTTGAGTATGAGGTTTCTTTGTGGGAGGATGAATTGTGTTTTATAATTAATGATGGTGTGGGATTGCATTGTTCTGTGAAATACTAAAAATCATTGCTTTGGACACTTTAAATGGGTGAATGACATGAAATGTTAGTTATATCTCCTTAAAGCTCTTCCCAAAACAAGCATCCCACTTTTTCATATTCTATGTAAATATGGGGAGCTCTTACATAACATTTCATTTGAAACAAAGTTTCCCATGACTTGCAAAGCCTGGTCAACCCATCCTCATTTCAGCAAACTTGTATGAGCACCTGCTATGTGTAGAATCTGGGGCTGGCCTGGGAATCAAACAGGGAGGGGTACAGAATTGATAGGCCAGCACCTATCCCTGGCGCTTGCAGTGCAGGGAGCAGCATCCAGTTAAATTTCAGTTTACCAAAATATGTGGTAACTTCCACTGTGACCCCACCAAGGGGGACATAAGATGGTAGCCAGCATTAATTGAGGTCTCACTGGGGGGCGGATACTGTGCTGAGAGTGTCCCAGGCCACTGCATTGGTTCCTAATGTGTTTCTGCTCTCAGTTAGCCTCATTGTACAGGCGGAGAGGCTGACATCTCCAGCCTCTGTCCTCCCATCTCTCATGAAGGACACAGGATATCCTCTGGTCTACAGGAGGTCTGAGCAGAATCATGTTTGAGAGGGGGCCAGAGAGAGCCTCTTCCAGCTTGCTTGCCTGTGAAATTGGGGTTCCAGATTTCTCCCTGCTGGTGCAGCAGGTTGAGGCTCAGCACTACGATGCTAGCGGCAGCTGTTGCAATGCGAGTTCGATCCCCAGTCAGGGAGGTGACCCACATGGTGCAGCAGACCTCTCTCGACACGCCTGCTGCTCCACTTAGCAGTGTACTTTGTCAGTCAGCCTGTTCTGCTCCCCACTCTGTCTCTGGTGAATTCTTTCACAGTCCCTGCACCTGTGACCTATATCCCAGTTATGTATATATAAATAAATAAATCTTTAAAAAAAAGAAAATGGCATACCACAGTCCCCATTGGGGTTCTGAGGCGAAGGTTTCAGAATGGAGGGGTATGGATGCTCAAGAATCACTGAGCCCCCAAGGCTGGAGTTCTCATACATGTCCTGCCATCTGCTCAGCACTCATCTCTCTGAGACTCTTTCTTCAAATTTAAAATGGGATTATAACTCCTAATTCCACAGGCGTTAAAAGCCTACACAAGACAAACTTGCTGTGCAATCCACATAAAGGAAGAACCAAGGTTAGCATTGTGTTGGAAAGTGAGAGACACCGAGCTCAGGGGCCCTTTCCCCCACATTTAGAAGAGCTCTGGTCCATTTGGAAAGAAGACAGTGCACATACAGTCACATACACACACACGCGCACACACACACACACACACACACACACACACCCCTCTGCCACCCTCACCTCTGGCTCACTGTCCACTGGCCTTTGCATACTGTCATGCCGGATGTTGAGGCGGGGGGCTAGGAGGCACTGTCACACTTTTCCCATCATCTGTCAGCCCTATACAAGCCCTGCTACTCTCAAAAGCTTTCCTAGGCTGCCAGCCTAGCATAAGCACATTTCCTGTGAACCCCAAGAGCTCCTCTAGGTGTCTGAGTATCACCAGCCTGGCCAAGGTGAAGAATCCTAGGCCCTTCACCCACCAGCTCTATGATCCTCTGTGAGTTCTTGACTCACGTGCAGCATCATATGAAATGAAAATAGCAAAGGCATTTAACCCATTGTGAGCCTTGACGGAAATAATGCTTGCCGAACACTTAACACATTCCCTGTCTCCTCCTGAAGTGGGGGGAGTCCTGCTGTGCCCTCTCCACAAGCTTAGGCAGGAGATGGCAGAGAGAAGGTTTAGAATGTGTTGGGAATGACAGAGCTGAGGGCTCCTGCGTTGGGAGTCAACTGGGGAGGGCACATGGTTCCTGGCTGGGGGGCTATGGACATGGCCTTGAGGCCAACAGGATCCTTGGTGGCCTACTAGACCCTCGTCCTATCAGAGAACCCTTCGGGTGGAAGCCTCATCCCCTGCTGAGATCTCCTATTCCAAGGACCCCATGAGGGAGTACAAAGGGCCCCCTTGAAGCGTGGATCTGGAGGACAGCCACCAGGGAGCCAGCTCCCACTATTTAGTTCCAGCTGGGCCTCTCTCAACCAGGAGTCGGGGAGGCAGAGAGCACTGGAGTCCATGATTCACTAAGGGACATGAGTAAAGTGTAGGTTCTGGGTGGGCCAGAGTTGTTCTGGGTTCTGTGCTTCGGACAAGCCCCCAGGCAATGTTGATGCAGCTGCGCCATAAGAAGGACCTAAGGCAGGGCCATTTCTGAGAAGAGTGATGAGGTAACAGCACATCTCAGCCTCCCATTGGCACTAAAGCAACCTGGCCCCACCCAACCACGCCCTCAATTCCATCTGGAGAGTAAGACGGCATGGATTTTCTGAGTTTCCAGGATTCCATTTCCATTACATATGTAAAGTAAAAGAAGTACCACACTACAAAAACATTGGAAAATAGGAATACTAGGGGGAAACATCACTGATAATCTTATACTGTATTTAAAGCAACAGTTAATCTCTCCCCCCAGGACTCCCAAGCCAAGTCTGTCAGAGAGTCAGAGGCCAACCACAAGAGGGGTCTGTCCAGAAACAGCCTCATCACAGTGAAGCACTGGGTGAGAGTCAGGGCTGCTCCCACACCCTCCATCTCCTGGCTCCTGTCCCACCCCAAGGTGCCCAGGGCCTTCACCCAGACCTCTCCTGGGGTCAGGACCCTCTCCCTTGCTCTCTCACCACAGCCAGCTCAGGAGGACATAATGCTGCAGAGCAGACAGAGGTGGGGCCTGGGGGAGGGGCACACATCTGGATTCCTGGCCCGGAGCCCACATTCCTTCCATGTACGTGTGAGAAGATGGGGTCTCAGGAGAGCTGTGAGGAGGCTGCTGGCTCCCATCCTGCTCCATGTAATAGGACTCCCCCTGGCCGTGAGACTGGTGGGGACTTGAAGGCATAGAATCTCATGTTGGGGCCCTCCACCCAAACTGACTAACCCAAGCTGGCCCACACTGGGCCTCTAGCCCATTCACACCAGCCAGCCTTGCCTCAGAAACACCAGAGAGAGGAAAAAGGGAGAAGCCCGATGGCAGTGAGCCACGCGCTTGTCCCTGGGGGGCCCTTCCATCTGTTCTATCCTCAGAGGCCAGCCCCCCGGTCGGTGGGGAGCCCACGGGCCCCGCCTGGGCCAGGCCGCCTTACCTGGGGGCAGTCCTTGATGTAGTGTCCTTTGTTGAAGCACAGGTGGCACAGGTAGTTGGGCGGGGGCCGTTTGCTGGGCTTGCGGGTCTCAGAGGTGAGGGTCAGGTCAGAGAAGTGCTCGGTGAGGGAGCTGAGGCCATCCGCGATGTTGTTGAGGGAGCCATAGGGCGAGGCACTCTTGTACACGCTGCTGCTCAGTGCCTGTGGGGGACAGAGGCTGTGAGGGACTCCAAGCCTGGGTACACACCTGCACCTTTGCAGCCATGGCCTGGGTGGAGCCTCCATACACCAGAGAGGAATTCAAAAGGCCCCTTCAGCTGCCACAGGCCCTGGCCTTCTGGAGTAGACGACAAATCCTAATACTACTTCTGTATTCACGGACAAGTCATTTAACCACCCTGGCTCATGTCTGGAAAACAAGAAGAACAACAGGATTTCTAGAAAGTTAAAGTGAGTCAAGAATGTGAAACACTTTATCTTCTCCCGTACGTAGGAAACAATCAGTGACGATGGTCTTTAGCCCTGACATGCTGCCTAGAAGTAAGATACATCCAGCAGAAGGCATGTGTCGGATTGGGGTGCTGCCACTTACTGAAATGAATGACTTCAGGCAAATCACTTATCTCTGAGCCGACTCAGTTTCCCCATCTGGTAAGGAAGAGGAATACTAGCACGTGGCATCGTATAGAAACGAAGACTGTGGAGTCTGTCCAGGGAGCCCCTGGCCAGCTCTCTGGGAGCCCAGGGAGGAAGTGGCCCACCTCTCCTAACTCTCTCACCTCCAGTTGACAGGAACCAGATGTCTCGCCTGGTTTCAAAGCAGACATGGCCCAGGACTGCTCCTAGTGGATACGGCCTCTATTTATAGGAGTCATCGGCTCCGAACAGCCAGGCACATAGGAATTTAGTGAGGTGAGGCCTGCGGTGAACCTGGCAGGGAATAGCTATGGGCCCCCTCTCCTGGGGCAAGGCCGAGACTAGAAAGCAGCAGCATCCTGGGAAGATCAATGACAAATGTAGGCCTGGTGCTGTGGCATCACCTGGGCCCAGTTCAGGAGCCCGCCAACACCAGAAGTAGATGATAGATGCCTCTAATGGAGAGACGTGACTTCATTCTTGGGATAAGCGAATGGGGGAAGAGCCCCTGAGAGGAAGTTGCTCCAGGCTCCCTTAGAAAGGTGGGACAGACAGTGGTCTAGGGTGACAACAGCCCTTTCTGTTGAGTCCCCCCAGTGTGGGAAGGGGAGGGAGGTGAGCTGGGTGCTGGCCCGAAGAGATCAGGTGCCTCTCTTTCCAGAACAGAGCCCACCCATGCATACATCCTACTAGACCTCTGAGGGGTCTGCCTTCCCCTTTCCAGAGGACACAGCCTCATCATCTGAGTGCCACCGGCTCCCTGACACCCTGCTAAGGAGTTTGGGCCAGCGCTTTTCCTCTTGTGTAGGTTTGGACCAGAGCCTGGGATCTGGAAGGAAATGTTAAGGGGAAGGATGTCCTAAAGGAACACTGGGGTGCCGTGTAACAGAAAGACACAGATAACCATGATCAGGACAACCCAGACCCAACACACAGGAAGCTTATAGTAACTGGACCCAGAACTCAACGGCCCCTCCTAGTCGCCTCTATTCTTTCACTGTCCAGTGCTACCATCCAGCCCAGGACAGAGAAAGAGATCATCCAAGTCTGCAGCCAAACTGAGGGTGACGCTCCAGCTTTAAGATGGCCCAAGACGGAGGTACGAGATGATGGACACATTTAGGGGCGTGGGGAGGATTGAGGTGAGATTAGATAAGTAACACATACTGTGTAATTACTGTATCCATGAACTGGAAACTTTCGCTGTATCAAGAAACGGATGCTCACAACCTTAAGTCATCATCCCCATCTTACAGGTGAGATGAGTTCAATACAAGTTGTATTAGGTGACCTGGGAAATTTTAACAAATACACCTTTCTGGCCCCCACTCCAGGACTCCCAAAATAGCCCCCTGGGACTGAGGGGTAGAGTCTATATGGTTTTATGGTGGTAAAATATACATAACATAAAACCTGTTATAATTTTTAAGTGTACAATTTAGTGGCATTAATTCCATTCACAGTCTGGGCAACCACCACCATTGCCTCCAGAAGTTCATCTCCCCAAACTGAAACTGTCCCCATGAAACACGAAGTCCCCCTTTCCCACCGCCCCCTCAGACAAGTCTACATGTTTAAAGCTCTCCCAGGCAGCCCAAGTACAACCCAGCCTACCTGACCTGGCCCTGGAAGCAGCTGGCCCTTCCAACCCTCCAGGAGGCTCCTCAGCTCAACTCCCTACCTAAATCGGCCTGAGGGAGGGCAGCATCTCCTCGGCCTCCCAGAGCAAAGTTCATCCAAACAAGAAATCTGAAGCTCCCAAATGGTGTGACTCACCCCGTGGCTGGGAAACTCAATTTCATAAATAACAGCCCTCTTTCTCCCCCCTTTCTTTTCTTTTTTCTCTCTTCCCCCCACCCCACCCCCCACCCCCACCCCCGATAAGATTTAAGCAAGTCCACAGGAATCAGGACTGTTTTGGCAGCAAACTGTCAAGAGGAAGGGGAAGTCTGGTGGGTGCCAGAAAGTGCACTAATTACACCATGAAAAACCTCTCCCTGTCTTGTGGCCACACTCCCCTGGCCACGGACAGCCCCGCGGTATCCCTGGGTAGCCAGCAGGCTGCGCCCTCGCTGGCAGCTCGACACCCCATCCTCCATCAAACCGGGGTCGCAGATTTACCCCTGGCACACGCAGATCCAGGTCACGGGAGGGAGCCGCGCCGCCTTCTTCACGCCTGTCCTATCCCCAGCGTAGTCTGGCCTGTCCTCGGCTGTGCACTCTCAAGAGGGCACCTCCTTAGAGAGCAGTCGGCTGACCCAACCCCATGCTCACCTTACAGAGGGGCAACTGAGGCCCCAAGAGGCCAGCATCACAGGCCAGGCCCATGGCCAGCCTCGGCCCAGAGTCCCGCTTGCGGGGGCTGGGCAGGAGCTGCTTCCTATCTGAAGCTCCAAGGAGCTTAGACGGTGGAGGTGAAAGGTGAGCCGGGCTGTGGGACGGGGTGGGGTAGGAGCCAGGAGGCACAGGCTCTCTCTCTGCCTGCGGAGCAGGCCTGACTTCTTGGGTTTCCCACATGTTAAATGTCAAGTGGAGAGCAGGAGGGCCATCTTCCACAGTCCTGCTTTCTTCAGGTTGAGGCACCCAGACCTTGAAAAGACACCCCAAAGCCCAGCACATAGAGGGCACTTCATCAGGCCCGCCATCTGTCCAAGCCTCACTGCTTGTGACTGGAGATAGCTGGACAGTCAGGCCCGAAATCTGCAGCATCCAAGCTACTCCTCTCAGGTCCCTCCAGCAACTGCTTTTATCCTTCATGTTCTGCACTGACTGCCCACCCCAGGTATGCTCTTCTGTGTCCACCACACCCTCCCCAGGGCCTTACTCCTGATCTGGTTCTGACTGCAGGAGCATAGTCTTGAACCCACCCCTTCTTTTTACTTAAGTCTTGGCTTCCAAAGTCAGCATGGAAAGCACAGATTCAGGCGCGCTCAAGGCCCTACAGACCACAGAGGCCTTGGCCTCCTCCAGAGGGATCTAGTCCTGTCCCTCAATACTGCAGGCTTGGGTGGGGACCCCTGTGACTCCCTTGCTTTTGCCTGAGGGGACCTCTGAAGTCTTTGTCAATCTCACCTGTGCATCTCTCTATAAGGCTGGAGGCCCCAAAGGCAAAGATTCTGCACTCCAGGCCACCTCGTTCTACTGTTCCTTATGCCATGGATGTCCTGGTGCAGGGAAGGACCCGGGAGTCTGCCCTCTACCCCGGAAAAATGAGCTAAGGGATGTCCTAGCACCTTCAAGGACTTACCCTGGGATGTCTGAGTTGGTGTGGAATAATTTGGAGGGTGCTCTTACCCCAAATTAGGTTGCTCTGGACCCTAGTTGTGTTAGGTGGGTAGAAGCTCTACGCCATCTGCATCTATATCACTAGCGTGGAGGAAGAGACTACTTTCCCCCCTGGGTCAGTGACCCAAGCAGCTAGCAGGAAGCACTGGGTAGGGAGCGTGAGACACGTGCCTTTTGTTAGGGAACTTCTCCAAGGCTGTAGCTTGACTGCTGGGGAGGGACAATCAGGGAAGACACTAAAATGTATTCTCATCCCAGTTGTGTCATGAACTCGACTGGATCCTTCTTTTCTTAGCTCTCTTAATACCTGGCAAGAACACAATTAGGATGGACACTATTGGCTCCATTTTCTAAGGGAGGCTGGGTAGTGGCCGACGGGAGATTAACACTCAGATCTGCTGGCCTGTAATATTCAGAAGGGGCCCCCGAGGAAAAGGCCAGGTGTGGACCACCCTCCTTGGCACAGACACCCTAAGACTTCATATTGCCAAGTCCTTGGCTCTGGCAAGATCAGGCACTAGCTTCTCTGGGTTGCATGAAGGGTTTGGGCCCTGGGGTTGGTGGTTCTGCAGAGGGACTTGGAGTGCAGAGGCAGAGATTTCCAGACCTGACTCAACCCGTCAAGTTGCAGCCTTCCACACAAGACAGTGTGAAGGCAGAATGGGGCTAGGGTAGATGGCCAGAAGCTTCCAAGAGCAGCCTAGAGAAGGAAGAGAAGGGTACAGAGAAGAGAAGCGGGAAAGCAGGCAGAGATGGGATCAGCACCCCTGGGGAGGATGCCACAGCTGGGCAGGCAATGAGAAGGGAAGTGTCCAAGGAAGCCTGGCGGAAGCAAATGCCGAGCCCTGCCCTCCAAGCTCCCCAGAGGGATTCTGATTCTAGTCCCCAGCTCTGTGGGGATTCTTTCATCAGATGAACAACTGCTTTCTTATCCCCAAAAGACATCCGTTTACATCCCTCCCCCATGTATACACAGGCACACAGGCACAGGCACACACACACAGACACGCACACATACAGGCGCACACACACAGACACACACACAGGCACACATGTACAGACACACACATACAGGTGCGCACACATACAGGCACACACACATACAGGCACACACATACAGACGTGTGTACACACAGGCACACACATACAGGCACGCACACATACAGGCACACACATACAGGCACACACAGGCACACACAGGCACACATGTACAGGCACACAGATACAGGTGCGCACACATACAGGCACACACAGACGTGTGTACACACAGGCACACACAT